AATCATGAAAACCCCCTAAAAGTCTAAAACATACTTAGAAGTTTTCAAATATTCAAAACTTGGCATATCCATAGTGCCATCCTAACTTCTGTGACATGTTGCATCTATGGATGCACTTTGGATGTGCCAAGCTTCGTTTTGTTTTTAAACTTGTATGTTTTTTAAGGGGTTTTCACAGTTCCGCTGTATATTTTCCAGATACTTCAGAGTAAAAGACCGTCAGAACCATCAATTGGTGAATGGTACCAAGTATGATCAATCGAATAATTTAGGTCACTTCAAAGTCGGAATTTGGCACAGCCATAGTGTACCCATAGATGAGACATGTTGCAAAAGTTGGGATGCAAACTTGTTTTGGAAAAATCAGAAAACGACAGATTTCAGGTGCATATGCACTAGAAATTTTGTCCTCTAGTGCACATGCACCTGAAACTGATCACTTTTTGTGTGAATTTTTCTAAAATGGATTTTGCGTCCTAACTTCTGGGACAGTCCCATCTGTGGATGGCCCAAGTTTTCTTTTACTTTTAAGTATGTTTTTTTAGAGCCTTTCACAATTCCATGTTTTTTAGAGGCTTTCACGATACCACCACCAAGGTGGTTTCCACCGAAAATTTTCCTAGGTACTTTGACGGAATAAGTTAGGACACTTCTCTATTGCTTCAATGCAAGTTAATGCTACTCAGTGACCTATTATAGAGGATGAAACAGTGTACTTGCAACCATAGGCGGAAGGGATAGCTTCTAGTACGCCATCTTCCAATTGCTTTTTCCCATGTTTGCATATGATTTTGAAAGGAACCTGATTCCCAGCTGTAAGATTTGGTTCAACAACAAAGTTTGCTTTTACCACATAATTTGTTAGGCTAGAATGTCTTGGGAGTTATTTTGATTTGTAATTTCTTTTATTTCTTCAAACTTAGCAGATTGAATGCTACATTTTTATTCAACATGAGATATTCAAAAAAATGATCTAAGTCGGTCTGCAACCAACATTGTTGCTGACCCACCAATTTTTTAATAAACTCTTCTTTAGTTTAGGTATTACTGTAAACAATACTGAAATGGTATACATGGTTAGTATCTGTCATGGTATAAATATGCAAATAGTGAAATGAAGTTGAGAATTTAAAGTGCAACATTACTGAAGTAGATGAAATGGATGCATAGCAGATTAGCAGTATAACACCAGCTTAGACTTCCTGCAATCCAAGCTTGATTGCAATCAAAGTCATCAAAGAAGGAAAGGATCACTAACTGAGGCAACATCCGAATGTTGTGAGATAATTAAAGATTCATTATCTACGTTGTGGCAATCAGCTCCACATTGTAACTATTACAAAAATATGTTAACCACCATCGATAGAGCACAGGAGATGCTCTACCAGGAGCAGCCTTAACTTCCACTATGTTTCGACTTGTATTAATTAGGGTCATCTCAGAACTTTTCTATGGCTGAATGGCGATTCTTCAAACAAGCATGCACACACAATGAAACTATGAAAATGATTCAGAGGCATCACTGCCACACCAATATGGCAATACCTGAATATTCCCTGCAGTGGGAAACCAGTAAAAGAGAAACATGTAAAAAAGAAGAATAGAACAGTTCCCCAAGGACAATGCTAGTTCTATAAATGCTTGAAAAGCTCCAATGCAAAGACTCGCAATCTCAAGCAACACAAGATGTACCAAGTCATCCAGACGGGCGCACCCAGTGCAGAGAGCTCCCGCTCTGTGCGGGGTCTGGGGAAGGGTGTCAGTGGCAAGCCTTACCCTCGCCTGTGCAATGCGAGGAGACCGCGACTCGAACCCGGGACCTTCCGGTCACAGGCGGTAAGACTCTACCGCTTGCACCAGGCCCGCCCTTCACCAAGTCATCCAGGCATCCATCCAAAAAATTAAATGTCTCCAACGCTTGGATTTCAGTGCTACATATTTCATAACATCAGCCTTAACTATCAGTACAACAAAAGATGACAACCCAATAAGTAGTAACACAAAAATGCAGCCCATACTATCACTACCACCATGTTTGCTATTTTCCAATAGAATCATTTTCTGATCATGCAATCCACCATCTTCACCACACAATCGTACCATGAACGCCCTCTATTCCATTGTATTTCCAATAAATATCTCTAACCCACTGGACATTCAGATGGCACCTTCCCAGTTAAACATAGCCGAACTAAGCTTCAGCCCATTCACAAGAAACCAGGTAACCTTCCATTTGTGTGCATGCATACTAATTAACCCCTTTCATTGATTTGCTTACCAAAGCAAGCAACGAGCAAGGGCTAGCATTCAATTGAACTCAGCCTCAAACCCTAGCACTAATCAGTCCTCACCGGATCAAGCACGAGTGCATTAAATTAAAGATAAAGAAAACAAAACGAAGGCTATCCATCCATGCAGGTAATGGTAAGGTGCGGTGTGAATAAGCATACATTGAGGATGTGCGAGACGCCGATGGTCTTGAGGAGCTCCGAGCGGGAGGCGTTGTCGTAGCTGCCAAGGAAGAGGAACTCCTTGAGGATCTCGGACGGGAACGCCGAGTCCTGCTGCCTCGCCCCCGCTGGCGACGCTGCAGGTGGGCGGTGCCCGCAGACGCCGCACACCTCCCCCTCCTCGTACTTGTGGTAGTGCCCGCAGATCCCGCACGGGTTCTCTCGCTCACGCTTCCTCATCTCTCTCCGCCGCCGCCGCCGCCGCCGCCGCCGATGGAATCAAAGGAGATTGCGAAACGCCGTCGATCGAATCGGGAGCCCGCACGCACGGAGGAGTAAATGGAGGGAAGATCGATCGAGGTGCTGCCTTCTCCTTTTCCTGAATAGGAAGGGAGAAGGAAGAGATTTTTTAATGGAGCTGAGACGGATCGGATCGGTTGGGGGCGGGCGCCCACGGGGACGGCGGTGGAGTGACGAGACGAGGGAGACGTGACGCACGCAGACGCAAGAGACGGGTCAAAGCACGGAGTCCGTAGAGAAATCCGAATCAGCTTGTTCGTTTGGCTTGCGTAAACGATCGTAAATTTTTAGCCATAACAGTATTTTTCTCTCATACAAATTAGCCAGTAATACTTCTTCATGAATCAGCAACGAAACGAATCAGCCAAAAGAACAGGCGTGGTAGGGGACAGGCATGATTACACGAAGGCCCTATTCGCGTGCCCTTAAACCCGGTTTGATCCGCTTTTTTTCATATGGAACAATGTTTTTCTTTCATAAATTCCTCCAATATTTTTCCAAACCATCTAAATTCCTCCAGAATTCCTCCCAGCAAATAGGAAGTAGATAGGGCCGTGGGCCCGTGGCCCGTGGAACTGGCGTGCAGGTAGGTTGGATGAGGATGTCCATACATCCAAAACATCTATTCGATTTAAACATGAATGTTAAATGGATGTATCTGTATTCGTTTTTAAAGATTATTCTCTATATGATTCTACATCCGTATTCGATAAAAATGTACAATATACGATATTATTCGTATCCACGAAGTACAAATTACTTTAAAACTATCTAAATCTTATAACTATGACTAATTAACTATGTAAATAAAAATAATTTAACGTAATTTTAGTATTATGGATGATATATAAATTTTAAGTTTAATTAATTTTAACATGACTAATCATATTAATTAGTATTTTATTTATATACTTCTAGGATTTAATTTTATTTATTTAAATTTAGTAATTAACATATATTATCTATAGTTTCTTATATTTTATATATTTAATTATTGAAACATTGATGAAAATATTTTATTTTTGGTAGTTGTCTTTATCCACGGTGCTATATAGCTATATATTTTGACCTTCATTTATAATGATTTTATTATACTATGAAACTATCAATAAGAAAATAGATACATTTATCTTCAACATCAAGTAGATGTTCAAATTCGAATCAGAATTCGAGATATCTGTTTTGCATTAGTATTCGACAATATTCGTATCCATATTCGCATTTGAATTAAAATAGGATAAATAGTGATAGAGTAGGATTGCTTACAGCGGCGAGTGCAAGAGGGTGGGGTGGGGGGTGAGGGTCGTAGAGTGAGAGGAAGAAGTAAGGGTTTGATTGGTTCACATCCAAAAGTTATCATACCAATGATTTGACAAACTATGATTTTAGCTAGTATTTAGTTTGCTAACAAAACTTGTTAAACTCTCATATTGGCTTGCCAAATCTATGGCAATATTTTTACCTAACTTTTAACTTGTCAAATCTTTGGCATGATAAATTTTAAATGTCAACCGAGCAAGCCCTAACTCTTCCGCGGTGCAGCCGAACCGCTGGGCTAAACAGCCACAACAGGCACAAGCCCAAACAAGTAGCCCCACGGTTGTTGACGTAAATAGCTTTATGAATAGATAGATATATCATAATTGCATATACTAGTAAGCTGTTGATGTAGATGGCTTGGATGTTAAGATAAAAGACTGATGGAGTTTACAGTTATAAGATAAAATTTTCATACCCCAATCTATTTCAAAAATATTGATACAACTGTTTTTTTCACAAAAAGCTGCTATGTCATTTAAATATCCGACTCATTCCTTATTCCTTCAGAGTTAAGATCACAGGTAGCAAGACTACAAATATTACAAGTATAGCAGCTTTGTGGAAGCAATCATTTGAGTGTACCTACAGAAATGAAATGTGCAATCCAGTTTCCAGAGAATATTGGAAGTAAGCTACGCTCACAGGGGTGCAAAAATCAACGACGGGCACACCAAAAACGTTACAACTGCTTATGCGTCCAGCACACTGATTAATGACAATACATCTCAGTAAGACTATACTACACCGTCTGACAAGTCGAAACAGCAAGGCCGAGCGGAACTAAAAACAAGAATTACACAAGAAGTGCCAAAGCAGCTGAAGGATGGGCATCATAATTACTCTACGAAGGCATAACAATATATTACCACAAAACAATAGAACATCAGAAAAAGAGTCGTTTATATCTAATATTCGATGCTAGGTTAAAGATCATGGTGTGCTCGGAACCGGATCGGTGACAGAAACTTGGGAGGCCGTGTCTTCTTTGGCTGTTGCTGCCACACCAACAGGTGCAGCTGCAGCTGCATTGTTCCCAGGAGATGCTGTCTTCGCCGTGTCTTTCTTGCTATCCTTCCCTCCAGACCTGCCATGGCCACCACCGTTCTGTTGGCCACTGATTGAGAGCCTTCTGTTTGGAGGAGTGCCGTTTGAGACGCTGCCGTTCAACTTTGGGCCAATGGCCTTCTTCGAACTGGCAGGCCGATTTGGACTCACTCGCGATCCGAATGGCCCTTCATGATCAGTGTTCAGTTGCTGCTCAATGTAGCGCTTTTGTTCCTGAGATTTCGGGACACCATAGACAAAAAGGAGTGCTGAATCAGTTCATGTTCCCCAAAAGAAGGGGCGAAAATCACATAATTCAAATTGAAACAATCAGAGCATTCTCTGTCAGCATTTCCACAGCAATAATTAGATGTAACACCACCATCCAAAATGAAATTGAATTCAAAGAATAGCAAAATGCTAAATTGTTGAAGTGAAATGCAAAAATGGAAAATGCAGTTATATAGTACCAAATATCAGTAACAGAAAAAAATGACCAGACTCCAGCATAGGTCCAAACGGAACTTAATGGACAATAAATGAATTGGAATTCAGGTAATAATAGCTTCTAGTAAAGAGCATAGCACACTAACCCGCATTCTTTTCTTCTCTTCTTCCCTTTCCTGCCTGAGCATAACATACTCATCCAACATAGCTAGAAGAGGTACACCATCATACATAAAGGACAGACCACGGTTCTCCTCCCATGCCCTGGTCTTTGCCACCAGAGTTTCAACAAGTGCTAGGATGAAAGAAGACATTTTACATCAGTAATCAATGGAACATAAAGCATATCTATCAGATCAAGATACAAGTCCATTCTCCATTGTACATAAAAGAAAATTTTAAGGCACAAACTTCTTTGCAGCTAAAGTAAAGGGCATTCATGTTATAATCTGAACTGATACCTGGAATCTTGTTAACAAGAATACGAGCTTTTTCTGCACGCTTCAGATTCAGGTGGGCACCTCGGCTAGAGTTATACCTGTTGTCATCCTGCAGAAGGTATTTTAATTTTGTGGTTAAAAGCTACTCCACAGCCAGCACAGCTTTGGTGTTATCGCATAAATGATCACAGGATACATGCAGCAGTAATTTTGACTTGCCGAACCAATTATTGCCATACCCGGTTATAATCTTCAAGCCAGCTCTCTTCTTCACACGCAGACATCCATCTTTCTACTTTGTCAAGGATATCTTTTCTACTCAATGCTTCTTCCTTTGCTTTTGCTATCTGGGCATCCATATCTGCAATTAGTTCTGATGGTTCTATGTTACCTGCCTCAATCAGCGCCAATATTTTCTCATGAGCAGCAGCTGTGTCTATTACTATATGAGCACCAGCGTAGATATCTTCCAGCTCAGTTTGCTTCTTGAAAGCTATTTCTTTCATCTTGCTGTATTTCAGCTGGTCTAACCTTTGAACCTCAACCTCAGCCTGAATAAATGGAGAAGTAAATGTCAAGCAGGCCAAAGGAATAGTTCATATGAGGTGATGGCACCAAAAAAAAAAAAAAAGGACCCACTTGTTCAATTAAATCTAGAGCAAGAGATCCAGGTGCTGTGACTTCATCCACAGATGCTGATCTGTTGCAGGTAACATGATCAAACATGCGCCTTTCTTCCTTGGGGGCATCCATGAGATCCCAAAGATCATAGAGCTGACCAGCAAGTTCTTGAAGCTGTATTGTAAGGAGGCCAATGGTGAGATCGTGCACACAAGCAGAGAGTGCAATTCACATTTACACACTCGGGGATGGGCTTTCACCTTGCTTAGACGCAACTTCTTATCTTCATTAAGTGTAGCTACCGTCTTGTCAAGTTTTGACAATGTATCATTACTAATGCTCTTACAGTTGTCACCAACAGAATCATCTAAACTGGGATGAACTTCAGTCACTGTGCTGAGAAAATCCATCCCCAAGACGGTACAAAGATCATGTACCATGCTTACATACTCAAGAACCTTCTCCAACCTATTCCTCTGCCAACCAAATTATTTTCATGAATAAGAAACCAATACTAAAGAAATGGCCAAGTATGAAGCGCCATAACATCATAACCAATAAAAAGCCAAAGGATAGAAAAGTACCTTCTCTTTCTCAAGATCCTGGAGCTGAGACCGAAAATCTTCAAGCCTCTCAAGTGTCAAATCATCCTCATTGACTTGGGGTGTTGTCACCTGCTCGCCCACCTCTATGGTGCCAGCAATTTCACCACATATTTGATCAATTTGTGATTGTACATTAACAAACTCTCTTTTTCTTTCATTTTTCTGTTTAGTCAACTGCTCAAGTGTTGGCGCTATAGCAGCTAGCTGCTGCTTGATTGTTCCTGTTGTCTTCTCAGGCTGCATGGATTGAATATTCTCAATTGTATGCCCAGCAGTAAAGCAAATAGATTCAAATCTAAACACTTGGAGTAAGGCTTCATATGACTTCTGAGCTAGAACATTAAATCTGCTGCACAAGGCATTCAGTGGCAAAGAATGTAATGCAGCTAGTTTCATAAGTAGACACCAAATGCCAAAAAGAAGCATACAATGTGATGACAAAATCTATAAGTAAAATAGGGCTATATAAGAAGGCAGCTAGCTCCACTAAGTAGGTATAACATGCCATGAATAACACACTAAATCATGCATAGAGATATACTGGTTTTCGTTGACTGCTCTTGCAAAGCATGCTTTTGGGGTCAGAGTTACGGAAGACAGAAATGAAGCTATGAATTCTCCTAGCATGGGCATATAATCACTTACGGTTCTTGCAATAGCTTTTTCTCCAAGAGCAGAAAGGAGCCTAGCAAGTTCTATCTTTGAGTCATCCAGCGCCTGGATCAGGAGATCCCTAGAGTTAGTTGCTTGGTCAACTTTCCTCTTGTAAACATCAAGGCATTCCTGATCCAGCTGATAAAGGACCTTGTCACGGTCCTCCTCACTCTCACCAACTTCATCCCATATCAACTACAGTAGAAGTAGAAGCAAGCCATCATCAGCCACACTGTATCAAGCAAGAGCGTAGAATTGCTGCTATTTGTGGACAACAAAACGCGAACATACCTGCAATTTTTGCAGCAAGGATCCGCATGTAATGTCACCGGCCATCACTGACCAGAGCAACCTGTAAGGAAGAAACATTACTTCTGAAAATTATAGCTTACCAGTTAGTACTACTAGAACAGAATGCATTTCCAAACTTGATGATTCCAAGCTTTTATCAAACAAAAGTGAAGCAATAATCATGTTGGTCTAAAGTAGGCATTAAATCCGCCACGTATAGCGAGCAAGACAATGAGAGTGGCATTCATGCTCCCTATGCCTAACTAACTCATCCCCAAATTAGCAGCACAAGTACAATCAAACACGGTTAATGACCCTACTGACACTAAACACACAGATAATGATCCCACTAACACTAAAATCCCCAATCATTGGCAGTATTAAATAATGATATAGAAACCTAAAGTTTAGGGGGGTTACGCATCTAGGATTTCGGCTAAACTCCAGCAAACAACTCTGGTAAAAACCCCCAAAATCCCACACAAAAACCCATGTGAACTCGCAAAACTGAAGTGTTTGACCACATTTGACCAAGCAAGAGAGCGCCCAAAAGGACGCGATCTGAGCATGTCGCTATCACCTTTCCTTTACCGGATCAAATCCTTACGCCAGAACCCAATCAGAAGCAGATCCCCCAGTCAGGCATCAAACCCACCTCCTAATGCCCAACAAAACCGCCTAAAACCCACACCATCCGGAGCCGTGCCACCGCATTAGTGCCCAGGCAGCCAGATCCCATCCTCCAGCGACGCCCCCCGACCCCCAAATCCGCCACCACCACGAATTCTGCTACGGGAAACAGAGAGAGAGAGGAAGCAGCCGGACGCTCTTACCAGATCACGCGGAGCGGTGAATGCAGCAGGCGCGCTGCGCGGTTCAGCGCTCCACTCCACGGGACTCAATGCCGGAAGAGCTCGCCGGTCGCCGGCCGCCAGCCCGCCACCGCTGAGAGCTCTGAGCTGGAACTGGACTGGAGTGGAGGCAGTAGTACTGCGGCTGCTGCAACTGCTGCTACTGCCACACCACGGGCAACCGAATTAATTGGGGGTGTTGAGGGGCTGGTGCGCGCGCGGCGGGGCCGCTGGATGCGACTGGTCGGGTGATCGGACGGCCTCGGTCGGCCCAAGGATTTACCACGGGTGTCGGTGAAAAAAGGTACTAGGCGTGTTTGGGCCGCGTTTAGTTGCGGCCGGATTCGGTGACGCCGGAAACCTAGGCACTGTAGCGGCACTGTAACGTAATGTATCATTTTGTCTGTATTCGGTAATAATTGTTTATAATTAGGTTTAAAACGTTCGTCTGGTAAAGTACAACTAAATTGTGCATTTAGTTTTTTATTTTGTTAACATTTAGTACTCTATACATGTACCGTAAGTTTGATGTGACGGAGAATCTTCTTTTTGTATAGTACCAAATTTTAGATTTCGGTGAAACTAAACATGGCCTTGTTCTTCAGCGGCTCCTAAAATTTATATCACATCAAATATTTAAATACTAATAAGAAGTATTAAATATAGATTAATTATAAAACCAATTACATAGATGAAGATTAATTTGCGAGACGATTTTTAAACCTAATTAATCTATCATTAGCATATGTTTATTATAGAACCACGGTGTCAAATCATGAACTAATTAGGCTTAAAAGATTTATCTCGCAAATTAGTCATAAGTTATGCAATTAGTTTCGTAATTAGTCTATATTTAATACTTCATATATATATCAACATTTAATGTGACAGAAATTTTAGGAGTCACTGCCGAACAAACAGGCCTAGTACGGTGATTAGAAAATATATACGCGGGGACCACGTAGGCTAGGCTGTACCGTACGCTGTTGAGGCTGTGTTTAGTTTAAAAAAATTTCTAAAAAGTGCTACAGCATCGAATATTGTGATACATGTATAGAGTATTAAATGTAGACAAAAAAAAACTAATTGTACAGTTTGGTTGTAAATCGCGAGGCGAACGTTTTGAGCCTAATTAGTCCATGATTGAATATTAATTGTCAAATAAAAACGAAAGTGCTACAGTAGCCAAATTCCCAAATTTCACGAACTAAACACAGCTTGAGTTAATTTTGGGCGTTAAAAATTTTTGTTCTTGGCCCTTGTTTAGGGCGTGTTTAGTTCCAGAAATTTTTGGCTTTTGACTACTGTAGCACTTTCGTTTGTATTTGACAAAAATTGTTCAATTATGGACTATTTAGGTTTAAAACATTCGTCTCACGATTTCTCGGTCAACTGTGTAATTAGTTTTTTTTCGTCTATATTTAATACTCCATGCATGTGCCGTAAGATTCGATGTGACGGGGAATCTTAAAAATTTTTGGGTTTTGGGTTGCATCTAAACAGGGCCTTAGATTGCCTCAAAGTTTCAAGTTTTTTCACTCTCTCTCCATCACATCAATTTTTGGACGCATGCATGGAGCATTAAATGTAAGTAAAAAAGTAACTAATTGTACAGTTTGGTTGTAAATCACAAGACAAATCTTTTGAGCCTAGTTAGTCCATGATAGGACAAAGTTTGTCAAATACAAACGAAACGTGCTACCGTGTTCAGATTGCAAAAATTTGCAATCTAAACAAGGCCTTGTTTGCTGCTGCCTTCCAGAACTGTTTAGGCTCAGTTTAGTTTTCAAAAAAATTTATCCTAAAGTGTCACCTCGAATCTTGCGGTACATGTATGGAGTACTAAATATAGACGGAAAAAAACTAATTACACAGTTGGTGAGAAATCGCGAGACGAAACTTTTAAACCTAATTAGTCCATAATTAGACATTAATTGCCAAATACAAACGAAAGTGTGATGATAGCCAAAACCAAACATTTTCACCAACTAAACGCGCATTTTCACCAACTAAACGCGCCCTTAGTTACAGTTTGTGGTGAGGCGTTGACCGGTCAAATCTGTCTCCTTCCGTACTGGGTTTGCTGTCCTGCGGTGTTTTAATGCGATTGTAAATTTAACAATTGGGTTTCAAAGGTTAGAGCTTGGAATTTCATAGCGCCATAGCTGCCAAAGTACCATTGTCAAGATTCAAAATTGATAACGTATATATTTATATCAGAATTTTGATCCACGGGGATTCATATTTTGAAGCACTTTCATATCAACTTCTTGGCTATGCACGTTATACAACATGTGACAAATTAATACTTCCAAATTGCTAAGGCCCCGTTCGCGTGCCCTTAAACCCGGCTTGATCCTCTTATTTTTTCATCCGAAACAGTATTTTTCTCTCACAAATTTCTCCAGCATTCATCAAAACCATCCAGATTCCTCCAAAATTCAGACAAGCGAACATGCCCTAAGTCGGTAAAAAAAATGTTCCTTTTGTACAAAGTCAACAATGGCACGTTATGGTTATACGGGTTGTGTTTGAATATTCAAAGATCCGGTAAGTAAGTTTGTACCGAAAATAGTTCCAAAACAATATACTTTTGTTTGTGTGTTGCAGTACATCTGTCCAAAGGAAAAAATATAATTCTAGCACAGTACCAAGTCAAACTATCTTAAATTTCACTAACTATAAATAAAAAATATCAATATTATAATATTAAATAAGTATCTTTAGATTTGTTATGAGACATGGTTTCATACTATACTTATTTGGTACGTAAACATTAATATTTTTATTTATATATTTGGTCAAATTTTAGACACGTTAACTAAGAATATATCTATAATAACATTCTTTTGTGAACAGATGTAGTACATCAAGCAAAAGCTAGTGGCTTTTTTAGATAATGAAAAAAAGTTAGTTCTAGAAAAAAAGATTTACAGTTTTCCTCTTGCAATCGGTGCCTGAAATGATGCAATGTCATATCGAGGAAGTCTGTACTCAGCACTCAGTTGACGAGGAGAACACAAAAACGCTATTCGAGAGTCTAAGACAGTGTTTAGTTCGCGAAATAAAATTTTTTGATGTCACATCGGATGTTTTAGAGATGTCGGAAGGGGTTTTCGGATACTAATAAAAAAATTAATTACATAGCTCGTCTGGAAACTGCGAGACGAATTTATTAAGCCTAATTAATCCATCATTAGCGCATGTTAGTTATTGTAGCACTTATGGCTAATCATGGACTGATTAGTCTTAAAACATTCGTCTCGCGATTTCAAACTAAACTGTACAATTAATTTTTTTTTGTTTATATTTAATACTCTATGTATGTGCCGCAATATTCGATGTGATAGTTTGGGGTGAAAATTTTTGAACTAATAAACCAGACCTAAACTACGAGTGTCCCGCAGACATCCTTCGTGCAGAAGGAGGAAAAACCACGCATTTTGTCTTGAACGGAGTGAGGCTCGCTCGGCCAGAGACGGAGCAAATTATTTGTAAAAGGAACCGGAGAAGAAAGGGCTTGTCACACACAGGACTGCTCCTCCGTGTAGGTAAGGAATCCGGGCCAGCCGATCAGATCGGTAGGCTTTTCCGTTGAGCACGAGATCAGTGGCGGCCCACCTTTGGTTCTTTAATCACAGCCAGTGCCTCGTGGTGTAGGACTGTAGGAGTAGATCAATCATCCAAAAAGCGATTACCGCCGGCCTGCCGCTCCCAACCAGGTGCCGTTTTGAGCCGCGCACAGGCACAGCCAGCGGACGAGTCCATCCGTCCGGCTCCGGCATCAGCTCCCGTTTTTTTTTTTTTTTTTTGAAACTAGCTCCCGTTTTTTACAGGCCGCGGTCCTGAATCCTGATGCGATGGGAGCCGGAAGCTGGGAAAGACAAAACAGAAGGATGTGGATGTGGATGTGGATGTGGATGTGGTGTGTGAGTGTGAGGCAGCTGGCGGGGCGCGTGAGCAGGAGAACCCCGCTTGTCTTGTCCTCTTGCGCGCGGGCGCGGCGGGAACGGGTGGACGCCAAGGAGTGCGTGGCAGGGCCCGCTGGAGCCCGGGGCAGGGGCGCGGAGCACATGGCCGTCCACGTGCTGCCGCAGAGATCTACCACCGCCGCCCTCGGCTCCGCGCGGGGGCGTCACGACCCCCCGCCCGAGCCCAATAATGCGTAGCGTACTATCGTGCCGCGTCCCGATC